TAGACATGATATTGGAGGTTAGCATCTCTGTTAATGTAAACTTTTTCTCAATACATTTTTTTCACAGTTATAACCCAGTGTGTGGGAAATTTAGCATTTATAAAATGAAAAATTTGCAAGAAGTACTTCTTACATTGACTACTTACATGAAATGTTTCCCTGTGTGCATTATTTCATTATTTGATGGCATTATTTTGCACTGACTGCTTTTCTACATTGTTGGAATGCATAGGGTTACTTCCTTATATGAACTCTTTCAAGTCATTATACTCACTGGTAGTGGACAAGTTTTCTGCATTGCTTACATGCATACACATTATCCCCCTTGTGGGTTCTTAAATGTGTTCAACAGGTACAAAACAAACTGAATGTTCTCCCAAGTTGCTAGCCTACATAGGTTTTTTTCCAATTGTGAATTCTTTGATGCATTTACAGGCTATGGGTTTGATTGACAGATTTCCCACATTGCTTACATACATAAGTTTTGTCTTTGTGTGGAATCTTCTATGTCTACAAAATGTGGATTATCAGCAGATCTTTTAAAATATGACTTATGTAAGTTTTCCCCAAAGTGTGAATTATTTTATGGACAAGATTATAATACTGACTGAAACATTTTTCACATTATACACCTACATAGGCTTTCTCCCTACTGTGAGTTCTATCATGATTTTATAAAACGTTTGTGTACTCAACATGTTTCTAAATGTTTTGCACGATAAAATTTCTCCCTAATTTAAGTTTATTCTTGTTTCTGACAGTGACTGAGTCTGCCTTACCATTTTTGATGCTATATCTTAGCCTTAGGATGGCTACATGGATATAGGCCATAAATAAAAGCATAATATTGAATATGAATGTGTATACACTTCTTGGTAAACAGAGTGGGGAGCCCCAAACAGAGGGAGATGAATTCTCTTGTCCCAAGAAGAAATTAAGGTGACTTGCCAACCATCAAAGATCCCACCATGACTGGCTGACACTTTGACTTGCCAGGGTCCCACTGCACCTTGCCAAGAGGTCTGGCCATGACTTGCTGAGAGTCCTACTGTGACTTAGTGAGACATCCTGCTGTGACTTGCTCAGGCCCTGCAAGTGACCTCCTGGGGTCCTGCCACAACTGGCCCATCTCGAACCGCAACTTGCCGAGGCGTCAGTGGTCCCACCACTTCGACTCACTGAAGACACAGTTACATTGAGTTCAGGTGCCAGTGAGCCCAGTGGAGAGCTGAGTTGGCATAGAGCTTACGTTGACCTGTGATGAGTGACAGGAGTGGAGCCATTCCATAAGTAGGGGGGCCCCAGTTGATGACATTCTGGGATCAGGCAGAACTGGCAAGTACAAGGTGCAGCAGTGATTTCAGTCAATTGTTCCCTTCCTGAACGGAGAGAACTAGGCCTGGGTCACATGACCTGGCTGAGACCCAATAGGTTATCTGAGGTCAAGACATTGCAGTGGTGGCACACACTAACCAGACTTGCCCAGTGGGGCCTCGGAGGTTTAGCTGGTCTGGAGAGAGGTGATGCAAAGTAATACAGTAGTGCAGCCCACAGCAGCTTGACTGATTTGGAGGGGAGGGGCCCGCATACACTGTCCCTGTCTGCAACTCACTAACACACAGCAGTTTGAAGGATCATCAGGCCAGTGCACTTCAGAAGAATTGTAACCAAGAAAGAAAGAAACTGGGGCCTCCTGGAAGAAATAAATAAGATGGGAAAGAGGAAACAACAACAAAAAGTCCCCAAACCCCAACCCTGAAAACATTGACCCAGGACAGGTAAATACAAAGAAGAATGAGAACAGCAAACATACAGTATCAGACACGGTGACAGTGGACATAGAGATATATTTGGGACCTTATAGATGAGTTCAAAAGTGAGATATTCAGTCAAATAAAGCAAGATATAAGATGATTAATAAAAGAGATACTAAGCACCTCTCAAGCAGACACAGATGGAAGAAGGGAGGAACTCAAACACAGGAGAGAACCCTTTGGTGAAGAATATAAAAATAAATATAGAATACAGAAACAGATTCAAAGATCACCAGGAAGTGAAAAACTATGGAAAGATGGCAAGTCAGCTTGAATGAAACTAAGGATAAGATTATCCAAACTGGAGGACAATTTTGCATTGTGGGAGTAAGAAAGGGAAAACTTTTTAAAAATAACAAGGAAACAAGCAGTAACAATACAAAGGCTAGTAAGATGACAAAAGGATCTATAACTTGAGTATAAAGAATGTAAATGAGAAGCTGGGATACAAACACAGGAACTACAAAGATTATGCACAGAAATAATTAAGGAAAACTTCCTAAACATCGGAAAAGAAAATGATATTCTGATATAAGAGGCATACAGAATTCTGGACACCTACAATCAAAACAGAGCTACACCCAGGCATACAATAATCAAGATACCAGAAATTCAATATAAGAACAGAATATTAAAAGCTGTTAGGGACAAGAAACAGATAACCTACCGAGGAAGACTTATCAGAATAACGACAAACTTCTCAACACAAACTGTCAAGTCAAGAAGTTCCTAGATCAAAATATTCCAAGCCCTGAAAGAAAATAACCTCCATCCCAGATTGATATACCCTACTAAACTGTCTCTAAAAATTAATGGAGAAACAAGACGCTTCCAGGACAAAGAGGAACTTGGGAAATTTGCAACCACCAATCCAAGTCTACAGAAAATACTCCAGGGCATTCTAGAGAGAGAGAAAAAAAGTACTAGCATTGCAGGAACAGTGGCAGAGAGGCCTCAGTGAATAGAGCAGAAAAAAGAAGGAAGAAGATAAGCAGACAACTGATGGCAAAAAGGAGCATAACAGAAATGAGGCAGAGAAGATTTTATTCAAAACTGATATGATTGATAGTATCAAGTCTGAGAGTATAGGCAACTACACTGAAGATGACACGACTGTACAATACATATTCTGGTTTGATAACTGCCAGTTTTTGAAGTTCTATGCTATGTACAATGTTCTGCTTTCATTAATATTGTTACATACTGACATATTCAATTATACTATGTCTGATGATATACCCAGTTCTATTGGAGATAGCAAGACACAACACAGGAACTATGGTAGAATGATTTGTACAATGGTCTTATATGTTTATTTCATTTCATGTATTTATGTTTTGTTTTGCCTTGATTTGTTTTGTTTCTCCCTCTAACATAGAAAGGATAGAAATACATGTTAAGACTCATGCACATGTAGAATACATAAACAGTTTATGAGAACTGATCATATGACACATGGTGAAATGAACAGATCCTTTGAAGAAAAAGAGACACTAAAATACCCATTGTTGATCCTGGAGTGTCATAATGTGAAACACAGCAATAGTATTATTCTTTGTTCAAGGTGATATTAGCCTGCTTTTGTTTATTCAATCTCAACACAATTGAAGTGTTGGATAACTGCATGTATGTTTAAGGGTACAAGATTGATAACCATATTTCTAAGTTTTTGTTGGATAGTTGAACAGAACTTGTTGCAATCTCACTGTTTGAATCCCCACTTTATATGCTCCACTTCAGTATCTTGAATAACTATTTATAAGAGGATAATCTGTAATCATCAACTAGTTATTTCTTATGGTTTATTTTTTTGAAATTATGTATAATTTCTACTCGTTTTCTGTTTTGCTTAATCTTTCTTTAAATTAAGAGTTTTAAAAAGACACTACAGTACCCAGGGCTGATCATGGAGTGTCATGATATGAAATTGAGCAATATTATTATTCTTTGTTCAGAATGATTTTAACCTGCTTTAGCTTGTTTAATCTAAACATAAATGAAGATATGGATAACTGCATGTATGTTTAAGTGTATAGGATTGACAACCATGTTACTAAGGTTTTTTTGGATAGTTGAACTGAACTATTTGCGGAATCATTGTTGGAATTTCCACTTTACATATTCTGTCTTTGTATCTTGAAAAACTATTTGTAAAATGACATTATGTAAACATCAAAAAGTGATTTCATACTTTTCTCTCTGAAAGTATATATTACTTCTATTGATTTTTGGTTTTTTTAGTTTTTTTAAAATAAAATTTTAAAAAATTAAAAAAAAGACTACAAACAAATGGATCCAATATTTCTGTGTAATTTATAAAAAAGAAACGAAAATATTTCAGGATAATTCTGTTTCAAGTTGTCTTCAAAAATGTATGAACATATATTGACAGCAATAATTTTATATTTTGCCAGGTCTCCTCTACATGAGTGATTTTGAAATTATTTTCAAAATAGTCACTTACATATGTATGATTTCACATAACTAGGTTTACTGTCACACTTTTGTCAATAACCATGAATACTGAATGCTTTCCCACATTGCATATATAAACTCGGGAAACAACATAACATCAGTCACAAGGTTAGCAGCTGTCAGCTGAACTTTACCAAATATTTCTTACATGCAGTTACGCTGCAATATGAGGGGAATCTTATGTTTGCAAAAGGGAAACACTGCAGGAAATCTTTGCTACACTGCCTACATACACAGGATATCTTCCTTGTGTGAAAAATTTCTCTATTGATGTGCTACATATTTGTGTGCTACATATTGTCCACCATTGTTCAAATGCATAGAATTACTACATGGAGGGAGTTCTTAAATGTAGTGGCAATCTCTATGGTGTGTAAAGATTTCCTATATTCCTTATGTTCATAGGGTTTTTCCCCAGTGTGGGATCTTTGATGTCATAAAGTGAGAATGTATCAACAACTCCATTTACTTATTTCTCATGTAGATAAGGATGTTTAATAGAGTGAATACTTTTCTACACAAAAAAGCTACTACTATAGCTAAAATACATCAAAAATTGCTTACATCAATGGAAAGAGTTTATTTTCAGCACTTCTGCAAACTGAGTTTTGGCATATTGGTTGTACCATAGAGGTTCTACCCAGTGTGAGTTCTTTCATGAATAATAAGGTGACTGCTTTGTTAGAAAGATTTCACACATTGTTTACATACAAAGCGTTTCTCCCCAGTGTGAGTTCTATCATGCACTTTACAAGAAGAGACTGTACTAAATGCTTTTCCACATTTGTTGCATACATAAGGTTTCTACCCAATGTGAATTCTTTCATGTCTAGTAAGGTGAAATTTTTGACAGAAAGATTTCCCACATTACTTACATACAAAGAGTTTCTCCCCAGTGTGAGTTCTATCATGTCTTTTACATTTTGATGCAGTCTGGAATGCTTTCCCACATTTGTTGCATACATAGGGTTTCTCCCCTGTGTGAATTCTTTCATGGTTAATAAGCCTGTTCTTTTGGACAAAAGACTTCCCACATTGCTTACATACAAAGGGTTTCTCTCCAGTGTGAATTCTATCATGCACTTTACAATCAGAGGCTTTACTAAATGCTTTCCCACATTGCTTACATACAAAGGGTTTCTCTCCAGTGTGAATTCTATCATGCACTTTACAATCAGAGGCTTTACTAAATGCTTTCCCACATTGCTTACATACAAAGGGTTTCTCTCCAGTGTGAATTCTATCATGCACTTTACAATCAGAGGCTTTACTAAATGCTTTCCCACATTGCTTACATACAAAGGGTTTCTCTCCAGTGTGAATTCTATCATGCACTTTACAATCAGAGGCTTTACTAAATGCTTTCCCACATTGCTTACATACAAAGGGTTTCTCTCCAGTGTGAATTCTATCATGCACTTTACAATCAGAGGCTTTACTAAATGCTTTCCCACATTGCTTACACACAAAGGGTTTCTCTCCAGTGTGAATTCTATCATGCACTTTACAATCAGAGGCTTTACTAAATGCTTTCCCACATTGCTTACATACAAAGGGTTTCTCTCCAGTGTGAATGCTATCATGCACTTTACAAGAAGAGGCTTTACTAAATGCTTTCCCGCATTTGTTGCGTACATAGGGTTTCTCACCTGTGTGAACTCTTTCATGATTAATAAGGTTACCCTTTCGATTGAAAGATTTCCCACATTGCTTACATACAAAGGGTTTCTCTCCAGTGTGAATTCTATCATGCAATTTACAAGCAGAGGCTGTACGAAATGCTTTCCCACATTGCTTGCATACAAATGGTTTCTCCCCAGTGTGAATTCTTTCATGTCTAATAAAGCTACTTTTTTCAGTGAAAGATTTCCCACATTGCTTACATACAAAGGGTTTCTCCCCAGTGTGAATTCTATCATGCACTTTACAAGCAGAGGCTGTAGTAAATGCTTTCCCACATTGCTTACATACAAAGGGTTTCTCCCCAGTATGAATTCTTTCATGTATAATAAGATGGTTCTTTCGGGTGAAACATTTCCCACATTGGTTACACGCAAAGAGTTTTTCCTCAGTGTGAGTTCTGTCATGTATTTTACAATTATATGCTCTGATGAAAGCTTTCCCACATTTGTTGCATACATAGTGTTTTTCCCCTGTGTGAATTCTTTCATGCATAATGAGGTTACAATTTTGGCTGAAAGATTTCTCACATTGCTTACCTACAAAGGGTTTCTCCTGAGTGTGAGTTCTATCACGTACTTTAGAAGCAGAGGCTGTACTAAATGCTTTCCCACATTTGTTGCATACAAAAGTATTCTCCCCAGTGTGAATGTTTTTATTTCTTTGACAGCTACTGTTTACTGAATGCTTTCCCACATTTCTTGCATTCATATTGTTGCTTCCCAGTGTGAAGTTTATGTTTTTTAAAGAAATTGCTGTGAGATAATGCTTCTGCACATTTCTCAGTTATATGATGTTTTTCTCTACCATGTTTTCTAACATGTTTTTCAATATTGGATGAAGAAATAGAACTATTCTCATAGTGTTTTTTTTTATACGAGTTTCCCAAACTGTGGTATGTCTTGTGGATTTGAACACTGTTAGGTGTTGTTTGGGCTTTCAAACTTTTTTTTACCTATAGAGATTTCCTGCCCAGCATGATTTTGTTCACTAAGATCAGATCTGTCCTCCTCATACTGCCCATATTGACAGGGACCCTGTGCAGTCTTCCTCACTTCATGCTTCTGAAAAGGTTGGAGATCACTGTAAATCTCTACATATTGACTACATTTATATTGATGCTCTTGAATTCTCAAATAACTTTCTTTATCACATCTGTAAAGAAATAGAAAGAATGATATCTATCACATGTAAAAGGCTCACCATTAGCAATAATTTTATGATGACAAATTTAGTTTGATTCCTGCTAAGTAATTCTAATGGTTAACTGACTCACTGCCCTGCAGGACTTCTTTCAAAGTACTATTCATTCTAAAATGGATGGAACTCTTTTGGCAATTTGAATTTTTACTCTTTTTTTTTCTTGGTGCCAGGGATTGAACTCACAACTGCATGCTTGCTTATGCCCCTGAGATAAAACCCCTGCTCCATTTTGGCAATTTTAAATTGTTATGTGATTCTAATACTTAATATCATTTTAAAAGACTGGTACAAATGAATACCAAACATTGATCATTTTTTTTAGTTTTTCATGTCTTCATTCTCCCCTTTGTCTATTTCACCTGATCGTCTTTCTCATCTACAAACTTAAGGATTTCTGTCATATATTATCTCTCTTTATTTTCACTCCTCAAATATGTTTTTAATTTCTCATTAAAGAAAAAACCTGAGTTGCGGCTAGGGATTTAGCTCAGCTTCATAAGCACCTGCCTGGCAAGCATGAGGTTATGAGCTCAATCCACTGTACCAAAAAGACAGACAGAGAGAGAGAGAGAGAGAGAGAGAGAGAGAGAGAGAGAGAGAGAGAGAGAGAAATTCTGGGATATTTCATTTTTATTTCTGATTCACTTCACTTAAGGTCCAACACTTTTTGTTTCCTGGTAAATGATATCATGATTCCCTGTATAGTGTACTTTTTTCAACATGGAGTTAAACACAAGTCATAGAGTGAACTATATTTGCTGATCTATTATTTGTTTTGTGGGGAGAGACTTTTACTGACCCTCAACTTGCCCAAGCTCAACTTCAACTGCTGATTCAGCCTCCCCAGCTGCTAGGATTGCAGGAATGCACCACCATGGTGAGCTGACTCCACATTTTGTTTACCTTTGCATCCAGTGATAGGCATCACGGCTCTTCTCATTGCTTAGCTACTGTTGAGTTGGTTTATGTATTAGATATTGTAAATGCCCTTTCATGTGATTTAAGAAACAACACAATCATGGATCACTAACATTTGATGATTTTAATGTATTTGACAATATACTGAGAGAAGCATTACACATAATGATGCAGTACAACCCACTCAAAATCATGAGGTAGAGGCAGGAGGATCGCTGTGAGTTTCAGGCCATTATGGGCTTCACAGTAAGTTCAAAGTCAACCTGAACTACAGTATAAAATCATGGCTCATAAGATTAAAAATAAGGATACAATTGTGGAGATACATGTGAAACAATATGAAACATATTGTTTTAATTTTCAGACCGCAGAATATTTATTATCACATTTTTATTTTATGCATCCATCAACAATGTATGAAGAATTTTAAACTTGAAGAACTCAGCATTCTATGGGATATTTTCAAAGTACTTATTATAACACAAGTTATTTTCATTTTGAATACTGATCCTATGTGAAAATAATTCTCGATCATGAAAGTCTCAGTATTCACATGTATAAATAAATTATATTTTGAAGATGAGTTTCTATAAACTTTCACAATTTGTTCATTTCCTACATATCAGAATACAATATTTAAAATTACTCCTATATATTTCTATGATGTTGATCATGAAGGCAATTTTTAAACTGAACCATTAGTGTTATTTACTTCATAGTATTAGAATTTCCTCTGATTCTTACAATGAAATATGTTTCTATGGATTCCCAGATAACACAAAATAAAATCAAGTGTATCTCCTGATATATTTCAGAGGTTAAATAAAGTATAACATGATCTCATTTCTTAAAGTTCCTTTGTTGTAATATTTATGCTCACACACTGACAATTAAGTAATATTCCCTTTCTCTAATGTGTTTCAGTTACCTTAGATTTCTTGAGCAATTTTTGTCCTCTTCCTTAATTTGCTGATTATTCCATATTCTTCCTGTAATATGGACATAGAAATAAAATCACTCACTATAACTGTACATTAAAACATCACTGATTTGATTTATACTCAGTATAATCAGACTTGAGATATACAAACAAATATCAAGTATATTAAACTGCATCACTGAGCAATAATTAATGCTGTTTGTATAAGTAAATAATCATGTCATCCTTACCTGTGGCAGTAATATTCATATATGTTTCCCACATCACTCCTCTGTAGAGCTTCTTTTTAGATAGAGTCAGCAAATCCCACTCTTCTGGGGTGAAGTTCACAGCTACATCCTCAAAGGTCACTGTCTCCTAAATAATGACAAGGGTCCTGAAGTTCTGGCACACACAACCTGATATATCTCAGTTCCTCTCATAAATAGTCTAACTGAAATTCATTTTTTCAACTATTAACTGCATATCATGGTCATCAAACCTCAAATACATTCAAATATAGTCACCCAGTAACACTGACACTGGACTATAACACATTGCCAAAGCAATCACAGAACTGTAGCACGGTTTGTCCTTGAGGGCCACCAATAATGTAATTTTTCACTTACTTTAAAGCAGACCTCAAAGAGTGAGCATACAAAGCACCATTCACAAAATACTTGTTTATTCATAACACTGAGTTACTCTTTCTTTATCAACAGCATTATTGTATTGAGTCTAGATTTATAGATGAATATTTAGTGGAATATGAAAGGAGATTTATGAATTATTAAAATTTAATGACATAAAAGTTTTATTTGACCATTTTATAGACAAGGAAATTAGGGAAAATGCAGCTATAAGTCTATAGCTGAGGGTTACTAACTTATCTCCTTGTACTTATATAGTAGAAATTCCACTGGGGTGCAAAGGAAGATAAGGTGGAAAAACATATTTGAAATGCAGTAAAAATTGAGGCATAGCAAATTAACTGGTCACTAAATGCAGAAGGAAGATTTCAGTCCAATGGAGTAGTATATGCCTGTTCTCTCACTTGAAATGGTGATGTAAGAGGATTACCACAAATTTCACACTTGCCATGGATACAGTGCCAAGCTTGGGCTATGTAACAAGGACAGTTCAGACTACAAAATGAGGTCATTCATCAAACTCCCATACCAAATGAAAATTAAAAGTAATTTACAGTCATTGACAAATCACATCTTTGTATCAGGGATATATCTCCATGGTACAAACACTTTTCTGACATTTGCAAAGGCCTGAGTACAATTTCCAGTACCAAAAAGAGAATACAAGCACGTTTGATTATTTCAACTACTGTAGAAGTAAGTTAGAGAAAAAAAAAGCCTACAAACATTCAATATTTTTGCGCAAGTAAACATTTTGCATAATAAACAGGAAAACATTTGACATCCAACATTCATACAAGTGGAAAAAGGGATCTCAGAAAAGGAAGAAAACCTTCAATTCATCCACATGGAAATAGAATATTATGTCACAATTCAGCTGGCATTGTGCTTCTAAGCAAGAAAGTACAATATGTTACTTGACATTCAGAAAGAAACAGGTATGTCCCTAGAAATCTGGCCTGCACTCTATCCTTGCCTATGTGCATTGGTGAACTATTGAAATGGGAAACAGAAACATGAATTACAGTGAATTTATACTGAAAAACATTCAGTTAGTGCAAAACTCTCCTCTGAAGAAAATCACGCAGCCATGAAAATTAGAAGAAATTGAAATCCATGAAGATTGGAATTAAACAAGAAAACATTTCTTGGGAACACAATACAAAGATTTTACATAGAGTTAAGATCAATGAGCACAAATCTAAAAATAAACAAAACTTATGTGATCCAGGAGAAATAATGAATAGAAAAGAAAATCTAAATCACATTTGTGAAAATAACCAAACAATATTGAAGTGTGGAAGACAAAATAATTAGATTTATTCTTAAGTTTCACAAACTCCTTTACTATGGAGTTTATGAAAATCTACACACAAGCGACTTCTTTCTAACATCTACAAAATATTTTGTTTTGAATGTTTTCTCACAGAAAGACATAGCAAACTGTCCTCACAGCAAGCCAAGAAGTATTCACACATGTAACCCAGGTTCAGTGCAGCAATATAGAATGTAACATAGTCAGTGGAGTGGAAGTCATGCAAAGCAGGCTCTTACACAATACTGGAATAAAATTATAATTGAAAAGCAGAAAAATTATGAATGCTCTTAAATGAGAGATTAAATCACAAATTTTAAATAACATGTTTCAACAAAAAGCTTAAATAATTAAGGATTTCACACTCCATGACAATGAATGTACATTTAGAATTA